CCTTCGGGGAGAGGTTTACCCCTCCCTCCACCCCCTCCCCTGGACTTTTTGGTAGGTTTCGCGGGTGGTTGGAGGGCCCTTTTCCGGCCCCTGGGAGGGACAATTTTTGACACCCCTCACGAGGATCATGGCCCACGAGGGGAGGACCTCGATCGGGACCCTCCCTCCTTTGATCGATAGCCTCGAAGATGGCCCCAATAGGCGCCCCAAGAGGCACCCGAGAGGCCCCCAAGAGGCCCCCGAGCGGCCTCAGAGAGCCCAAGATGACCTCCAAGATGGCTCAGATAGCCCAAGCTGGCTCAAGATGGCTCCCAAAATACTCCAAACGGCCCCAAGACCGCTCCAAGAGCGCCCAAGAGCGCTCCAAGAGAGCCCAAAGAAGCGGGTTGCCAGCTCCTGAGGGGGGAGCTGAGTTGGGGACCCCCCATCCTGTAATCGATGGCCTCCAAGATGATCCCAAGAAGTCTTCCAGGGTTACCAAGAGGGTTCCAAGAGGGCCCCATAAACTCCCAGAGAGCACAAGCAGCATCAGCAGCAGCAGCAGCAGCCGCAAGAATACCTCTAGATGGTTCCATGAGTCCTCGTCCGCGTCGTCCTCATCCTAGTCCTCGTCCTCCTCGTCCTCGTCCTCATCCGCAGCCTCGTCCTCCTCGTCCTCCTCGTCCTCCTCCTCCTCCTCCTCTTCCCCTCGCCCCCACGAGGCACCCAGGGCTGGCCCGAAGAGGGCTTCCAAGGCCACACCCTTGTTCGCTTTGTTTCCCTAGATGGGTCTCTTCGTCCCTTTTCCCGTCAGCTCTGAAGGCCAGGCTTCTGAATGGGCTGGTGGGGATGTGCGAAGCGTGAAGAGTTGTACAACGTCGTATTGAAGTCGAAGCGAAGCCCTTTCCCTTTGATCCCTTCTTCGCTGGGAGGTGGAAGTCCTGGGGGGGGGGGGGGGTCGCCATCCAGATTCGATTTCCCCCGGGCGGCCCCGACATATCGAACAGCTCCAAAAAGAACCCAGAATGCCGACGATAGCCCCAAAAATTGCCCACAAGAGCCCCGTGTCTTTCTAAGATCGGCCCAAGACGGCCCAGATGGTCCCAAGACGATCCAAGAAGCCTCCTAGACGTCCCAGGAGCTCTCCAAGAACACCCCCACCAGAGCTCCAAGAGGCTCCTCCCCGCCTCCACCTCTCCCTCCTCCTACTCCTCCTACTCCTCCTACTCCTCCTCCTCCTCCTCATCATCATCATCTGTCCTCCTCCTCCTCCTCCTCCTCCTCCTCCTCCTCCTCCTCCTCCTCCTCCTCCTCCTCCCCCTGCACCCTCCCCCCTCCCTCCCTTTCATCTTCATCGTCTTCAGGGTCGGCGGCACCGGCCGTAAGGCCTTCGCAATCTGGGGAGATCTCCCGGCCCCCGCCATGATAGATCCACCCCACCTAGTCACCCCCCCCTCCTGGCCGCCCCCGACCTTCTATTTCTTCTTGAAGGCCAGCGGGCCAGACATCCGCGGCGCTGTTAGCAACACGCAGGCCCCGTTTCCCCCCGTGAGATGCGAGCGGGAGACTGGCCGAGGACCGCCGTCGTCCAGTCGATGCTCTCTCTTGTGTTGTGTTTTGTTTTTGTTTGTTTTTTTTGTTGCTTCTCTCTCTCTCTCTTTCTCTCTCTCTCTCTCTTTCTCTCGTCTCTCTTTCTCTCTCTCTCTCTCTCTCTCTCCCTTCTCCCTCTCCCAGGACTCGACCAACACAGTGTTTATCGTTCTCGTGTTGTGTTCGCCTTCCCTCGTTGTGTTTTCCATCCGCCTTTGCTGCAAAACGACATCGAAGCGGAAACGGCGCACGAAATCGCCCAAACAGCGTTTAGGTCGACCCCTGCCCTCTCCCGCCCATGATCTTCCAACTGTATCTCTTCTTCGTATCCCTCCTTAATGCAGCGTTGGGGCCTTTCTGTCTCGAGCGATTCAAGAGACCTGGTACACCCACGCGATGCTCGCAGTGTGCCAGGTGGCCGCCGTGCCTTCAGGACTACGTTCGCATACGGTGACTCTCTCACAATATAGTGTAACATGGCTTCGGTGACGGGTCATCAGAACTTGAATGCCGTCGTGTCCGACGGGGTGCTTCTTCGCATTCCATATTCCAGTTCGGCACAAAATGTGTCGCAATACTCCTCTTTCTCCGCTGCGGCGGTGAGGTGGTGATGTTTGGCTTCCGTGACGTCCTTGAGCAGGGAGGCCGTCGAGTGATGATAGGCCAGTTCGAGGGAACTCGTGTGCAATGCATTGCCCAGCTCCACCAGATGTCGACGTTCTACTGCGACAACCTCCAGGGGGGGTGGCTCGATCGCCTGCACCAATCATTGGAACGCGCCATCCTGGTGGAGATAGTGCCAGAAACCCAGATGCAGGATCGACGGTACCAGGGGACATCGTCGGAGAACCAAGACGTGGCCGTCCAGGACAACCAACCCAGCTATGAGGGCAACCTTGACCACTTGGGCGAGAATCGGCTGTCGACATCATCGAATGGTCACTGGTCGATGGACTCGTAGGCTCCGATGAGGCTCATGAGCGCACCGTGGTCCGCTGGCCGCTCCCCATCCTTCACGTCAGGGCCACGTATACTGCCAGTTTTTCATAGCCTCCTCCTCCAAGAGGCCCGAGTTTCACAGGAGTCCGCTGCGAGCACGCTGCGGCAATGGATTTGGTCTCAGCAGATTCCATCGGCATGCCATTTCCCGCACGATCAGCCCCCCCTCTGTCCAGCTCGAGCATGCTGCAAGCCCTCCACGGGCAGATGTCAGACCTCTCCGTGGGGTATGTTTGCGAGACACGGTAGGTTTCGCCCTTCTGATGTTGGCAATGCTTCGACTTCGAAACGCGCCCAGGCACAGACAAGAGCGCCCTCCCGGGCACGACTGCCCCAGACCTCCACGCGGCCCGGTAGGACTGGGGCTATCTGCTGCTCCTCGCACGTGGCCGCGGCGCGCCACGTCTATCCACCTACCTGAAGAGTTGAAAGCGGACGGCCGAGGCGATCGCCTTGGCGTAGGCTATCTGCTGCTCCTCCTCCTGCTCGTCCTCCAGATGCTCGGCTGCTTCTTGGGCCTGCCGATGTCGGGGGTCCAGGCGGCTCTCTATGTCCTTGGCGGTCACGGAGACCTGCACATCGGCAGAGCAATGCTCAGAGACACTGCACTGCCAAAGCTGCGAAGCCGAGTTGCTGAACACTGCGAGCTGTCTTGCACCCGCGCATCGGCCCAGGACGCCGACCCCGATGCCGCGTCCTGCGCCGCAAGATTGGCTTATCGCTCTTTCTTCCAATCCGACTTCTACGTGCGGAACAATCATCCTACCATTCCGAACCGACGGCGACCCGCCGTTACAATCCCAAGTGTAAGCAGTG